CCCCAAAACCCCAAAACCCCAAAACCCCAAAACCCCAAAACCCCAAATCTAATAAATCTGGTTGAATTTTAAGATTTATTATCCCTTCCTGCTCTTGCAAAGTCAAAATTATCGAAGTACCTATAAGTAGGAGCCTTTTGAGTTCTATTTCTCTTCATAGAAACAGTTTTAATTCTCTTGATCTTGTCTAAATCTACCCCATCGATAGCTTCGATCTCGTCATCAGAAAGCTCAGCTAGCAATTCTTCGACCGGGTTGTCTCTCCTATGGGCATTGTTCTTCTCCATCCTCTTGAACTTGCCTTCAAATGATTTGTCAATAGACACTTCGTTCTTAATGAATGAGGTAACTGCCGGGAAATGCAGCTCACCAGCCTCAAGTAAGTCCCAGTCGATACTCTTGAAGAAATCATGGAACTTAATTTCCTCAGCTCCCAGGTCTGAATATCCAAGTCTATTAAAGTTCTTGATGGTCAAAAGCCCGTTAATTAATGACTTGGCTTCACTTGAGAGCTCAGGTCTCATCTTAACTGGGATCTCACAGATTCTTTTGTACATGGAGTATACATCGTTGCTCTTAGTTTTAAAAGGATGTTTGCCAGTGAGCATTTCATAGATAAGGACGCCAAGACTCCACCAGTCCGCTGACTTGTCATAAGGTCTGCCTTCAATAATTTCTGGAGCAATGTACTCTGGAGTTCCACAGACTGTCTTAGTAGTTTTGTTGTTAGTCATACCTAATTTGGCAAGACCGAAGTCTATCAAGACTGCATTGCCGTTCTCATCCAAAAGAATGTTTTCTGGCTTCAAGTCCCTATAAAGAATATTCTTCTTATGCAAGTGTTCAACAGCCAGCACGATCTGAGCTGCATAAAAACAAGTTGTTTCTTCATCAAACTTTTTCTTTTGCTTAAGATGGTAGAATAGCTCTCCCCCTGAGACAAGATCCATGACAAAGTAAAGCCGATTTTTTGTCTGGAAAGAAGAATACATTTTAGTGATATTTGGATGGTCGATTGTGCTCAGAATTTCTTTCTCAGCAGCCAGGTTTTTGAACTCCTCATCATGATTGATAGCATTCTTGTTCAGACTTTTCATACAGTAGATTTTATCATCAAGTTTGCTCCTCACCTTGTAAACTTTACCAAAATGCCCCTTCGATAGGTACTCTATGTCAGTGTAATCACTGAGCTTTGTACCTGGATTATTCGAAGGAATCTTTGTGGTCATTTTAGAGTCAAGGACACACTCCCTCCAATTATGAACATCCCTATCAATGATCTCTTGAATATGATCTTTCTGGGAGCGACATATATTACCCATCTTTTGCTTTCACAAATAAATTATTAACTAATACTATCAAGAGCTTTACGGTGACTTGGGGTTTTGGGGTTTTGGGGTTTTGGGGTTTTGGGG